TTTCTAGCAATGTCCCTCTTCACAGCAACGCCTCATTGCTTACTGTGGATAGGGCTCGCCAAGAAAATGATGGGGAGAAAGGCAAGGAGCAAAAGGATGGGATTGACTAGGGCCACTGGATTAGCTTTAAGAGGATATAGAGCCTAAAACAGCTAACTTGTAGCTATATCAATCATCAGGGGAATAACCTTGGACGAAACAGGGTAGGTAACCTGTCCCAAAGATGCCTTAGGCACAAGAGGTATTCTGCCCTGTGGGCCTGGCAAGACGGCATGTCACTTGTTCTCAACGATTGGTTTCAGCCAATGCTTCTACTCTTTTGTCCTCAGCAATTCTTCCTGTCCTTCTTCTCCTCTCTTCCTGGCAGGCTGCAACAAGTTGAACGAAGGCTGGAGATTCAACCCGCGATTTTGAAGCTTTTCCCTTGTCGTTGCCTCTCTAGAGTATTAGCAACGTTACATCCAGGAAGGCCTTGCCCGCATCCGACAAAAGCTTCTTTGCATATGCTAGAATACCTCCTCACTAACCTATTGGCCTAAGTCTGCCCTCCCCATCCCTGCTGCGTCTGTGGCCACGCAGATAAGGCTCGCAGGTTGCCGCCCAACACTTGCATCGTCTACTGTGTAGACTCGACTGTTTCACTGGGTCATGTCGGCGATGTCTGTACATAAAGAGTGAGGCCCATCGCTCGAGATGCACGATTCCTTCTCCCAAGTCCCCACGCAGACCCGACCTCCTCCCTTCCGCACGCATCAACGCCATCCACCTAGCCAGCGTCATGGGCGACCCTATCACTGTGGATCGGCTTCTGCAAGAGCATCCCATGAATCCGGCCCACAACCCAGGTACGTCACGCAGAGCGACAAGGCCTGGGCGCGGCGCTATCCCGCCATCGGGAACCTCATCGTGCACACCATCGTCGAGGAGGACAGCATCCCCGAGGAGGTCGACTCGATCTATTGCGTGAAGGATGGACAGACAAAGACGGTCCTCGCGATAGGCGAGATGAAAAGGAACCTTATCAGCACCGGCTCCTGGCAGGGGGCAACATAAACTCCATCCCAGGCCAGCAAAGGCTGTCTAAAGAACTCCGCCGGTGGGTGTCCCCTCTGGCCTTGGAGATGAGTGACGCATGTGACTGACGGTTGGACAAAACACCTCAGGAACGCCGCCAAATATCGGTGCCCGCAGGTCTACTGCTTCGACGGTGAGACGCTCCTCCTTCTTCAGTCCCAGGCCATCAATAAAGCAGATATCGATGATGCAAACTGTCGGGTGGACTGCTGGGTGATCCCGCGCGTGAACAGCCACACTACGCTCCGTGTGGTAGATGTCTACACCGGAGCAATGAAGTGAGTGCATGAAGGGGACCCGGATTTCGCCGCGTGGGAGACCGACAGTGGCCTCTGGGAGTATCAGGGATGAGTCTCATCTCCCTTCTGCTGCATCAAGGGAGACCAAAAGCGACCATTTTGGAGGCGGATAATCAGGAAAGCAAAAAGACAAGCTATTTTCCTGCAGCGTACTGCTCTCTAACCCGGCTCCCGGACTCGTAAATGTCTAACGCGTGAAAAGTAGGAAGAACTATACTTCATTGGAAGGTGAATGTGACACTACCTAATGTGCTGGATGGGGCGTTGGTGATAGCCGGCGGAGGATAGGTACAGCTGACTAGCCCCCCAAAAGAAACAAATCCCCCTGGTAACGTTGCCTTTGTGCCATTTCATCCCAGGCAAACTTCCACGTCCTTCAAAGCTGTTGTTCTCAAGACGCTCCTGACCGAAGCTTGATTCTCAGTTTCGGTGCCTCACGACCCATTATCCCCTCCAATATGCATAACAAGACCAAAACCATCATCTTCGTCAACAACGACCCTCCAGCAGTGCCACGGCCAGGGCCGAAGCCCGGCGGCCGCGCCGTGCCCCCCCACCTCAACCTCGCCGGCCTCCCGGGTCACTAAAACCAGGACCGAATTTTCGCGTTACAACATGGCCTCCAAAGACGATTGTACGCACTTCTCCTTTTATTCCCTCTTCCTTTAAGTAACAACGAGTAAGAGGTTCCGCTTTCGGACGCGCATCCTCACCGCGACCGCTACTCGGGTCAACCACGTGCACTCCAACGTCCTCCGTCTTCGCCTGCAGGCCAGCTTCCTGCAGTCCATTCTACTAACGGTACTTGGCTATCTACCATGCGCAATACAGGCCTGGTTCGAGTCGCTCTTTCCCGAGTGGACTCTTCCTTCGCAGCTTATCCTCAAAAAGCAGAAGAAGAACTGGGAGGAGGAGTTTGAAGCCGAGAAAGCGGCTTACGCGAAACTGCATCCGTTACAGGGAATTATTGTTCCAAGGCTCTTTGGCGAACTCCACTACGACAACACGCCAGCGCTTCTCATGTCGTACATTGGTGGTGCATGCCTGGCTGCGCCTGAAGGGGGCATGCTGGAGCTGGACGAGTTCCGCCGCTTGGTCCGCCAGGCGCTTACCGCGCTTTCTCGCTTCGGGGTGTTGCAGGATGATGCCAAGCTGGATAACTTCCATCTGACTGACGGCAAGGTTATGGTTGTCGACCTTGAGATGATGACCAATGAAGTCCAGGAACCTCTGACGGACGAGCAGCTCAAGTTTGGCGTTGAGTGTGAGGTGGATGACCTTGCCAAAGGTTATGAAGACACCCAGTATTGCTTTTGGGAGGACGGGATTCTCTCTGTTGGTGGCGAGTGAATTGTATGTCGTGCTCGTGGCGCTCATCGTGTATACGCTGCGGGTTATTGTCAACTACCGCAGCTGCTCGATGGCCGGCTGCGGCTGCGGCATTACAAGTACGGGTTTAAGTGTGAGGAGTGACGGATAATCTGGACCGATGGGATGGAAAGGAGAGGGAGATATTGCAGTCATGCCGACTTATGAAAGCCTTTGATTTGGCCTCGGATGGGTCGAGACGATGGGGTCCAAGGGCTTCTCTTTAGCTAAGTGCATTCGATTTATGACTTTGACAGTTTCCTCGCGGCCGTATTTTTAATGTTAATCAGTTGTCATTGATTTTAACTATATATCACTTGTGGCTCTCATTGTGGGGACTGACACCTTTGCAGGCTGGAGGATGCTCTTTTTGCCTTGACCAGGGGATGTCCCTGAGGTCAACGAGACGTCCGAGCCTTCTCAGGAAAGCATCGACAAGGTTACTATGCCTCTACTTGCTCCGGAGGCCCATTTTCAACGGTTTTGCACACGGCAGACGTGTTTGGTGGCGCTTTTTATTGGGGTTGATTAAGGGGGAGAGTTCATCGTGCCCCCTAGCGTTAGCCACGCCGGACATGTAGACAGTGTATGTTTCATGTGGGATTAATGATAGTATTTACTAGGGCTTCATTGATCCTGTTGATTATGGACGAATCATCGCGCCTTCTATCGTATATAATATCTCTCTTGATACACACTCTGCCGGTGACGGCTATCCTCTATTTATTCCAAACTTATAAGTTGGCGATTTCTTCGAGATGGAACAACCCTTTTTTTTTTCTTTTTTTTTTTGGTCCGGTCCTTGGAAGGCGCCAGCCTCAACAAGGGACACCACCCTGATGGAATTGATGTACGCTGATGGCTTCATGCAAGAACACTAGATGTAGGAGAGTAGTTTCGGCCCGTATCCCGGTGTTTCAGTCCTTCTAGGGATTGTTGGGATATACATTTCATAAATTTTTACGCTCATTTGAGACCCCTTTTCCTTTGTATCTACATGGCCAATAGGCCTCACCCATCATTTGCCCTCATATCTCTGACCCTCAATTCCTCACATGGGCTATCAAAAGAAGAGGCACTTGGGGTGAAGAAAGAGGCGGAACGAAAGTGAAAGAAGTACACGGATGCACAACAGCATATTATAGAGTATCCGGCTGAGGCCGCCCAGGCCGCTCAGGCTGGCGAAGGTCACGCATCGGACAGGGCCGATGAATCCACAATGGAGGTGAGCTGGAGACGTGCCCCTGAGGCCAACCTGGCGCCCCGGACGGGACAAGAAGACATTCTCAGTTGGGGGGTGTGACAGAGGATGAGCTTCCAGAGCCAATGAGGACCCCTTCAGCTCATGACAATCACGGTCAGGACAGCCAAGATCTGACCGAGGAAGATCTCGCGTTTTTGACAGGGCCCATGTTTGTTTGAGACAAGTGGTAGGAGAGGGCCAATGAGACATAAAGGGAGCTGATTCATCTGATGACCTACACCGAAAATCCAGGACCTGACAGAGGGGGATTTGAGCTGGGTTCGACAGACCGTATATCCTGCGGGAGGAGTGGGGGAAGTTGGAATAGGCAAATGGGAGCGCTTCCTCCTTCAATTATGATTCAAACCACCCCGCTTGCTGGGAAAGCTTTGCTGCTGCTATCCCATGCAGCGCGAGTGTTTTGCAGGGCATGTTCCCTGTTGTCCCTTCGGGTGTTGAGCATCCCAATGTAGCCTAGCCTCGTCGTCTTACAGCTCAGCGAGCATACACCTTTCACCTCGGAGAGCCGCCGCCCCCCCGTCTGGGGTTGAGCCGACTGTTCAGTCTCAAGTTCACCCGCGTCGGTGGCTGTTATGGGCCAAGGGCCTTGGGTGGTATAAGGTTAGGGCATGACGCCATCTAAGGGGTTTTGCTTTCCGGGTGGCTTTCCCACGGGCCGGTGCTCCGTCAAGGTTTTCATTCTTTTCCGCATGTATTTAAGGGAGTCGGCTCCCTTTCAGCGGACCTTCTTTCTTTTCCTCTCTTTGTCAGTCGATTCAACCATGTCTTACAGTTGAGTTCCCATCGATTGGACAAGCCCCGTATCAGGCGCCTCTCTACCCCTAGAGGTGCTCATACACCTGCCTTGATTCAATCAATCCCGGTGCCATCCCTGCATCAACCTAACAAACCCTTACAATAACCGCCCTCTGCGAGGTGTCCCGCTGACTCCCGCCGCAGTCCTAGAACGGCTCCACGCCCTCCCCTCCTGGAAGAAAGAAAGAACTCGAACTACGATGGCAGCGGAACAAGCTCGCAACTCCCGGCCGAAGGCCACAAAGATTGACTCTAGCCGAATGTCACTAGAGGAACTGAAGGAAGCAGAGGAAGTGAAGGAAGCGCTGGCCGCGAAGGAGAAAGAGATGATCGCGCAGGAGGAGGCGATGGATGCAAGAAGAAGGGAGCAAACTGTTTCCGTCAGTGACTTCCTGAAGGAATTCACTCGATGGAAGGCTGAGAAAGCGGAAGAAGAGGCGGCTGGAGGCAGTGAGGAAGGAGGCCATGAGCAGCGAGCCGGTTGGGACTTGAGTGACGAACCTGAGATGCCTCGAGAGGGTCATGCGGCGTTGGAGAGGAATCTGCGGGGTGAAGAGGGTGTTGGGCATGCTGTGCGCCGGATGGATCCAGACGAGGGAGCGGAGGCTGTTGTGCGGAGATTAGATCTCACCAGGTGTAAGTCGTTTTACCTGAGAAGAATTACACTCAGCTTCTGATTTCGAGCAAGGAAGTTGAACCAATCCGATAGGGTACTCATCCCGAGTTTATGTCTGAGGAGGTCTTTCAAAGGAGGATGGCTGCCCTGAACGATGCTATGGAGTAGGGGAAGGGGGTTTGCCAAGGACTGTGGGGACTGTGGATGTTTGTATCGTGGGGTCAAGGATGGAAGAGAAGACATTGGGACGGGGCGTTTTGTGTTTGCTGAGTGTTGTTCACACGTACCAAGGGTTTGTGGGGTCACAGTGGCAGAGATTTTGAGACGAGACTTTTTGTGTCCTAGCCTGGCACCGGAAGTGTGGGATGCTATTTCTATTCAGGAATAGTTGAGGGGTCTTTTCCTTTGAGAAATTCTAGGGGGGCAATACCTTTTTTCTAGGGGGACATTACCACACATGGGGTTGTATATAGTCCCTGAGCCTTAGACATCATCAACTACATCAACGCTTACACCTTTGCAATTAAAGCCTTGTGATTGAAGCCTTTATAATTAAAGCCTTTGTAATGGAAGCCTTTGCGGAAGGCCTGGCAATTGAAGCCCTGGGTAAGGTGGTGTGAGGCTGAAGGCTTGCATTGGCGCGTGGGCATCGGGCATCAACACCACGGCAGTATATTAGCCACATCACTTCCAAGCATAAATTTACACTGTAATTTATAAGGTAGAATATGCACCGCGATGTTGATGATAATGGAAATGAATGGGTGGGATGGGAAAGGTATGTTGAGGTATGGGGGGTAATGGCCCCCCCCCCTAGAATTTCTCTTTCTTTTATACATGTGTCACCTGATTTTGTTGCCGCGATACGCCGACACCGGTTTTGAAACTACACGTGGGTCAGTAGCAATCACGGCGTGTCTGAAAATTCCCCCACCGATATGAAATGGTATCTTTCTGATTGGAAAGAGAGAGGGTCGTATTGGGCAGCGATGTTGATCGGTGTGAGGAGAAGAGGCGTTGTGTTTTGCTGATTAAGCAGAGGCTGTGTAATATATATATATATATATGGTGTACAGCATTCTGTATGTGTTGATGGGAATTGACTATAACTTTGCCGTGTCAACAGCACGTTGCTTTTGCCTGTAAGTACCACCTTGTTAACATCGATAGATTGGGACAGCAGTGGTAAAATTTCATGTCGTGGACCTCAGGATAGCTTGAGCAGCACAGAGGTTTAGGGAGTGGCCATGGGAATGAGAGTGTTACGCAGTTGGGAGAGGTTCAGAAAAGATTTGGCGTTCGGCGAGGATTGGCAAGTGCCCAGCTGCATGGTTGGTCACAGAAACATCACCGCCAGATTGATCATGGAAGGGGGTCTTATAGATATCATGCTGATGTAGTAACTCGTATGGATGCGTATGGACGCGAAGGCTCCGCTACAACGTACTGTTCAACTGTGGATAGGGAGCTCTGCTCCCGGAGGCGCGCTGCCAACTTTTTGGGCCTGACTTTCGAGGCCGCTGGTGATTGCTCTGGCACCCACATACTTTTCTGCTGCTTTATTTTGTCCTGTCGAATTTTGCTCTCTCTCTCTCTCTCTCTCTCTCTTCCTCTTCCTTCAGGCCGACCACACTGATCTGGGAGATCTTCACCCATCAATCCGTGTTGGCCATCCTCCACAGAGCACAAGCAGAAGCCTACTATTCACCCCTCCTTCATCACGATATTTCGTCTCTTGATATCGACTACTCGACTTTCCAAGCAAAAATAGTTCAAGATGAACCCGGAAGTCCCCAATAACGATTTTCCGGGGTTGAACGACCAGTTGGGGGTTCAGTTCCCCATGGATGAGGCGGCTGGCGATCCCAAGTAAGTCTTCTACCCTCACTCCATACGATTTCCTTTTTGAAACTCGCGAAGATGAGAAGGTTTTTCTTTCTTAAGCTTCTGTGGTCAAGTGGTCACCCAATCGACTTTCTCACAGTGTCAATCTGGCAACCTTTCACGCCTCACAATCAAACAATGAGATAAATCGACTTGAGCAAGTAAACTAACATTATTCGACAGTACTATCAATGACGGTACATTTCTCACGTTTGGAGACGACGAGGTCCAGCAGGCCAATCACCACGATGCTCCAGTTCAGTAACAGTACTAGAACGACCTTTCCTGATGCGCAAAATGACTTCAACTTTGCCGCTCCTATACCCGCTGCCATGCCCTTACCCGGAAACAACCCTATCTTCGCTCCGGATGCCGTCTTCGGACAGGCTCCCGTCTTCAATCAGGCACGCAACCCGGTTGTGAATCAGTTCTTCAACCCAGCCCTGCCCAACTTAGAGCTCGACCCGACCTTCCAGCCCGGTTATCCCTTCATTCCCAACCCGGAACTCGCGCCCGGCTTCGTCCCTGTTGCGCCTGTTCTTCACCTTCAACTTCCCCCTGCCTTCAACTTTGACCCGACCCTCGCCTTCAACTTTCAGCCTGCGCCTGGCCTCGCCCCAGCTCCTGGCTTCCCGCCCGCTCCTGTGAACGAACCCGCCGCTCATGTTGCGAGCCCTCATCTTCAAGAGCCTGTCAGTGCCCAATTCCCCGCCGCTATCCAACCACCAGCTCTCAATCAAGAGCCTGCTCAACGCCCAACCTGCCCTTGGAATTCCCGCTCCAGCCCCAGCCGCTGCTCGCCCAATGCAGAAGAGAAAGAGACTCACGCAGGAAGAGGTTGACAATCTGCCACCTACCGCCAGCGAGCTAGACTATACTGGAAGATGGCCTGGGCGGCCGCCGCGTCCACGGCGGAAGCGGTGGGGGGACCACCATCTCAGCTTGAAGAGGAAGGCCGGTCAGCCAAGGAGGGAGAGGAAGCAGAATGCCAGAAGGAACGCTCCGGATGTTGCTCCTGTCGCTGTTCAGGACAATAATGGGGATGAGATTGTGCAGGCAGATGGGGCGCAGAACGAGGCTGAGAATCGGATCGAGGAGGGGAGTGACGGAGTTGAGCAGCATATCAATGTCATGGTGGTGTAAGACAGTGAGGGGAAGAATGGTTTTTATACAGATAGGGAGTTTTAAGAACTCTGTTGGTTGTATTGTATAGTGTAATAACAAGTCTTACTCATATCATTAATGTTCTTGTTTAAAAGGTTAATATATAGAGCCTGACGATACCTTTCACAACTTCCATTTTGTGGGCCGAGTCGGATACTATGTTAATAACACCAACGGCTCCCTGCGCAGGAGAGACACAAAATAGCTTCCCTCCTTGTAATCCAAATGTTGAACTACCCTCAACTTCAATAAGAATCCCACTCGGCCATCCCAACCTACCTTCATTGACCTGTGGTTCAATAATGGGAACTACACGATTAGGAAAGTGGCCCAAGAGGGGCAGAACGAAGTCGAGATTCAGAATGACGGTCAGAACAACGAGGAGGCAGTTCCGTGCTTGGAGGGCAACGATGATGGAGCTGAGATTGAGAATAACGCCGGGAATCACGAGGAGGCGAATCAAGTGTTCGAAGCCAACGTCGATGGAGTCGCCAATGAGATTGAGAATCATGATATAGGCGAGTATCATTGTCCGAACGAGGATAACCGCCAGCTTTTCAATCATGAGGATATCTGGTTGTCGTCGGCCCTGCGTGATTTTGAGGATATCTGACGCCCCTGCATTGCCATTAAGGTCTTGGACGGGGGATGATAAGACAGGGTAATGTTGGTGTAAGAGGGAGAGGGCAAGGGTGGATTTTAGGCCGACATAGGTTTTAGGTTGGATGACAAGGAAGTGGACCACATATGGATGTGGCCCAGGTAGGTTTGAACTACCCAAGCCATCTACCCACATTAAACCCTCCACAACCCTGGACCTCCGAAAGCCCCCCGATATCAACACACACTTTATATTCCACCCACAGAGACCAAAAATGAAGCTTTTCTTTTGCTTTTTTTTGCTCCAGGTACCCAACAATGGCCAAATATACCGAGGAGGATATTAAAAATGCCCAGAAAGACATTGCCGCTGGTATAAGCCAGCGAAAAGCGTCCAACAAGCACGGGATTCCACGTTCCACCCTGAAGCACCGCATTGATGGTACCCTACCAAGGAACCTTGCCCATGAAAACCAACAGCGACTTTCTCACGGCCAAGAAGACCTCATTTTTCAATGGATCCTTCGTCAGGAAAGCCTTGGCTACGCTCCCACCCATACCAATGTAAAAGCTTTAGCGGCCAGTTTACTGGCTAAACAAGGCGATCCCAACCCCCTTAGCAAGCACTGGGTATCCCACTTCATTGGCCGTTATCCTGATATTAAAACAAAGGTTGGAAAGAAAATTGACTACGCCAGAGTCAACGAAGCCACCCTGGAGAATATCAATAAGTTCTTTAACCTGTATTCCACCGTTAACTGGATTAAGCCTAGGCACAGGTATAACCACGATGAGGTAGGTATAATGGAAGGCCAGGGAAAAAACGGCTTAGTTATTGGGTCTTCGAAGCGGGATAAGAAGTCTATATACGTTAAACAGAACGGAAGAAGGACCTGGACCACTATACTTAAGTGTATCTTATAAGACGGGAGAGTCCTCCCCCCCGGAGTTATCTTTAAAGGCAAAGACCTTCAAAAGCAATGGTTTAAGGACCAATTAAACAAGGACTGGTATATGGCTGTATCAGAGAATGGTTGGATCAGCAATAACCTTACTGTTGGTTGGCTTAAAGAGGTTTTTATACCAAGGACTGAACCTAAGGATCCATTAGAACCCCGTCTTCTTATTTATAATAGCCATGGCTCACATACTACTAATGACTTTATAATCCGGTACTACAGGAGCAACATTATGGCCCATACGTAGGCGCAAACCGCTCTTTTCAAGCCAGGTGGTAGTCCCTGTGGTGCCGTTGGATCTCTCTTCAAAAACACCTACTTTCCATACCGTGGGGGATTCCCAGGTGGCCAAGAAGGTCAGGGACCTACTCAAGAACTATACGCCGGCCGGAAAACGGCTTGCGGCAAGGACTCTCACCAGTACTATACTCACACTGAGATCTGAGGCATCCATCCACAAAGCTGAT